ATATGCTCTTGGAAATTCAAACCATACTCTTGAGACTATGAACATCCAAAACATGTTTTCTACTATATTGAATCAAGGGTTAGAAATCCTACCTTAAAATCACAAGCAAAGAGGAAGTGAAATCAACCAATAAGCATGCAAAACCAAGAGGGAAAAACGAATTGCGAAATGATGTGTACTGGCAAAAATTATATGATATGCAGATAGAAACTCCCCACAAGAAGTATAAGTTGTTTAGAAAGAGAGAACCTCAAAAATCAGAGATAGACAGGGAAAAGTGTACTGCCGATTTCATTTCAAACTTCGAGTAATTGCGCTGCACTTTCTTTTGATTTAAATCGTCGGAGGTGAAATGCATTTCCTCTATCTTCAATAAAATAAATTGTTTTACATTGTTCAGACCCAATGAGGCCTTCCGTCTGACACCTACCTCAGAAGGATGCCTTTAAAAAAAAAAAAAAAGAATAAGAAAAGAAAAAGAATAAGAAATTCATTGTATAACATTCTCAAGAAAATATATATACATGAAACTCACCATCTTATTCTTCTTGTCATACGCCATGGACTTCAAAAAGAAGTCAGCAAACCTAAATACCGAGCAAAAATAAAAGGCACAACAACTAGGGTAAACAAAGAAACAAAATTAATTGCAACCAATCCACACTCTCACTTCTCACTGTTGATTTTTTAGGGTTGATTTGAGAATAGGTTATTTTAGTAAAAAATCAACAGGGAGAAGTGAGAGTGTGGATTGATTGCAATTAATTTTGCTGCTTTCTTTACCCTAATTGTTTCGCCTTTTATTTTTACTCGGTATTTAGGTTTGCTGGTTTCTTTTTGAAGTCCATGGTGTATGACAAGAAGAATAAGATGGTGAGTTTCATGTATATATATTTTCTTGAGAATGTTATACAATGAATTTCTTATTCTTCTTCTTTTCTTCTACCTTATTTTTTTTTTTTAAGGCATCCTTCTGAGGTAGGTGTCAGACGGAAGGCCTCATTGAGTCTGAGCAATGTAAAACAATTTATTTTATTAAAGATAGAGGAAATGCATTTCACCTCCGACGATTTAAATCAAAAGAAAGTGCAGCGCAATTACTCGAAGTTTGAAAAGAAATCGACAGTACACTTTTCCCTGTCTATCTCTGATTTTTGAGGTTCTCCCTTTCTAAACAACTTATACTTCTTGTGGGGAGTTTCTATCTGCATATCATATAGTTTTTGCTTACACACATCACTTCCCAATTCATTTTTCCCTCTTGGTTTTGCATGCTTGTTGGTTGATTTCACTCTCTCTTTGCTTGGGATTTTAAGGTAGGATTTCTAACTCTTGATTCAATATAATAGAAAACATGTTTTGGATGTTCATAGTCTCAAGAGTATGGTTTGAATTTCCAAGAGCATATTGAGGAATTTTTTTAATTAACATGTTAGAGGGATTTCTATTATGAACTTATGTTAGAGGATTTTAATTATGAAAGCATGTTCTAAGTTTCTATTTACAAAAAATCTTATTGTAATAAATAATTGCTTGAATGATTGGAATCGTGAATATTTATTGGGATTAAATTATGATTAGATGCTAAGAAGCACGGATACGGATACGACACGACACGTATACGACGATACGGCAAAATTTGAAAAACTAGGATACAGGTATGGTGGGGATACATTTGTAAAAAATATTATTTTTACAATTCTTAGTAATGTAGTATGCATAAAAATAAAACCTAAAGCAAAAGACAACTTGATAAAACAGAAAGATTCCTATAAAGCTAAGAGTCTTCAAGGTCAATAGCTTTAACTTGTTCCAGTTGTTGAAACTAAACTTCCCGTACTCGAACTCATTTCCTAAAATTTATAAATTTGGTTAAGAAATAAAACAAAACATTAATCACCTTGCTTGGTTTAGGGTTTTCCAAAACACTTTTCAAAAAATTCTACTCTTATTTTTTTTGTTTTTTTGTTTTTACTGAATTTTTTTAATATTTTAAGCAATTTTTTTACTTTTTAGACACACCTAACATAAATACACCTAAAAAGTAAAAAAATTATAAAAAAAATCTTTCAAAAAATCAATAAATACCAAAAATACAAAAAAAATACAAGAATTCAGTACATTTTTTGTATTTTTATGTATTTATTAATTTTTTAAAATATTTTTTCATAAATTTTTTACTTTTTAGATACATCTAAGTAAGGTGCATCTAAAAAAGTAAAAAAAAATGTTTAAAATTTAAAAAATATTCACTAAAAACACAAAAACCAAAAGAGTCAATTTTCAAAAAACTTAATCCAGAAAACTCAAACCAAACACAGTGAATGTAGTTATTTTTTGGCATGAACATCAAAAAAATTCAGCAATTCAAAGGGGTCAGAGACAGAGAGAGTGAGTGAGATTGAGCGAGAGGGACAGAGAGATCGAGGGAGAGAGAGATGGGAGAGAGAGGGAGCGGGAGCGAGAGGAGGAGAGAGAGAGAGAGAGAGTGAGTGAGATCGAGCAAGAGAGATAGAGAGAGTAAGATCGAGCGAGAGGGAGAGGGAGAGGACAAACCTTGATCGACGGCGACTCCTTGCTGCTGTTCGCGAGCCTTGAGCTAGGGCTTGGTTGATTTTTTTTGTTTTATTTTAGATTAATTTTGTTATTTTACATTTCGACCCCATTATAAGTTTTTTAAATTATTTTTTTGCCCTGCCGTATCCCAAAAGTATCCCAAGCGTATCCTTGCGTACCCCAAACGTATCCGAAATTCAATTTTTTTTTAAAGAAATTGGGATACTTCTTTGCCGTATCTGATACGTATCCTGCCATATCGGATGCGTATCCGTATCCGACACGCGTACAGGGGCCATTTCGGAGTATCTGTACTTCATAGATTAGGTGCCATGTTAGGCAAATTTCTTCAATCACTATAAAAAAGGAAAATTTTATTATCATGATGGTGAATTCTAAGCAAGTTTGGGGTTTATTTTATAAGTTCATTAGAATCGGACCTTTGGAGTCATATTCTAGGTAAGTGACGTCATTGAGAGTGAGTTATGGCCTCAATGCGATGTCGTTTTATATATAATTATTCTCCCAACTCTATGCACTTAACATTTATATAAGAATATGAATTATACATTCCAAATTCATAAACGAATTGTGTGTTCGACAACTCGAAGAGGCCGCTGCTCTAAAACCATTCTAAAATCATAATGTCAGGAGAGATCAACCCAGTCAGACTTACGGATGCTCTTTCATGAGAATGAAGAAGGTGAATTGGAAACCGACATCATAGACGCAATATCGAACATACCGGTGTCGAACATATCCAGAACCAATCCCAAAATAGGCGACGTAATGTGGCAGAAGCTAACATTCAAGTCAATTATAATTGACAAATGCAAACTAAGTTACAGACCACAGTGCCCATTTAATTCAACTGGTCGTGTGGAAGTTGAAATACGGGACACACGACTATGAGCGGACGATCAATTACAGGCCTGTTTTACCTTCCCAGTTACATGCCCAGTAGACATCACATATTTTGGAAACGCGTATGCTGCCGCAGACAAGAAAGAATGCCCATGGACAGCGTCGTACAAATTGCTAAAAACCAACCAAGGAACCTCCTTGAGAATTTCTTTACTATCAAAATGAATTAATACACCATCAAGTCTTCACCAAGGTTGTGGATTTTGCACAAAACTATCGCAAAAGGTTCACATATCATCGCAAAAGGCTTTTTGCTACGGAGTAGCGAAGAGAAATGGGGGGTGGCGGAAGGGGGCGTAACAAAAAGTATTTGCGACAGTTACAACCCGTCGCTTTCTTGTAGCGACAACTAATCAATGGTTTTTGCGACGGTTTAACCTGACACAAGAAAAATAGAAAAAGCTTCACTTTTAGTGACGATGTTAGTTGCTGTTGCCAAAACTTTTTTAGCGACGGTATTTATTGTCGCAATAAAATTATTTTCATAAAATCAATATATATTTTATTAATTCATTCCCTGTACAAGTTATTAATATTTTCTAAAATAAAATACATCCATATTCACATTCACATTCACAAAATCATACCAAGAATAATATATATGTACCCTGTAACAATTGTCAACCGAATATTCTTTACAAAAAATATAAAACATCCTCCAACAATACTAATAATTATTGATATTCAATAACTCAATTTTTTGTATCTAAAATAAAACAAAAGTATTGACAATACAAATAAAAAAAACATATGTATTATATCTTGTTTTTATATCAATAGTAAGCTCCAATATCGATATGCGAAGATATCATCACATACTCAACAAGGTTGCATTTGCAAAAAGAAACCAAAAAAAAAAAAAAAACATTTACAATATAATTAATTTTAAGCTTACAGAAAATGTAAAACATTTTATATTTATTTCAACAAATAAATAAATAAATAAGATTGTAAACTCTAATATCGATATGCAAAGATATCATTACGTACTCAAAAGGGTTGCATCTACAAAAAGAAACAAAAAAAACTAATCATTTACAGTTAGAAAAGGGTTAACTGTGCTAATGTCTGATTCTAATGTAATTGGTTCTTGGAGAGCCTATTGGAGATCAGGGCTTGCATTAAACAAGATGGGTGACAAGTAGCAGCCTAGCAGGGTTGAAGATGACTCACTGTTTGATGTAGGTGCTATTTTGTTGAGGGTTTATTCTTACAAGACTTTGTGGAACAACAAAATAACATATTTTCAATGTTTCTATCTGACATTGATGCCAACTTATCTTTTTTTCCCCTTTTGCAATGATAACTTGGCTATTGAAATGGAGATTTGAAGTATGAATGGTGAATAATTAAATATATCATCAGAGTTTTATAGACCTGATTAGCAAGCATTTCTAATTCATTATTAAAAAGAGAAAAGAATGGTTGAATCAATTTTACGGATATATATGAATATACTATGTATATATAAGTAGCGAAATCAAAGAAATAGTGAAGAGAAATTGGAATGGAATGGGTACCTCGAAATGCTCGGATTTTCAAAAAGACAATCGGAGCGATTGACTGGTTGTCCAGAGTGTGGCGATGATCAAGGAAAACTCCGACTCATTGTTTGCTCTCATCAAAAACATATAGGAAAACAAATACGCATAAAAAATCAAAAAGAAAAAAGAGATTGTGTTAGATTGTTTGGTAATATAAATAAGAATAGTTTAAATAAGTTGATTATCTGAAATTTGAGAGGGGTGGTTAAAAGACCAGCTAGAGTAATTTTCATTTGTAATAACATACAATATATATATACTTAAAAATGTTCTCACTTAGTTCCCAGACCATAGATTCTTTCAGGTGGTATAGTTACTCCTGCAAGCTCTCGTAGCAACGCAACAACAAAGTAGGGGAAAAAAACTTGTGTATGCTCTGGCTCAAGAAGGGGGGAAAAAGCATAAGATATCGAAAACAAATCACTTGCAAAGAAAACAGAAAATAGGATGAACAAGTACTCAACACATAACTTAAGTATTTAAATTTGAAACTATATAGTCTTAGGCTGCACAAATTGACTGACAATAGCTACTTATGAATAGCATTATTTATAATCTTCAACCAAGCAACTATCTCCTAATACATTTAATAAAATACATATATACAAGCAAGTCCGTGATGAATTATAGACACATAAGCTCTAATTGGATTACTCACCTATCAGATTAATAACCTAAACAACCATTAGTCAAATACCTATGTACTTCAGTTAAGTTGCTTCTGAGTAAACTCAACCAAAATATAGTCCAATAACAAACACTAGAAACATGTATGCTATAGACTATTATTGATAAGTAAATGCCATCGTACTTATCAAATAACCAACAAACATGTAATTCAAGTTAAGCGTGTTCAGATAGTTTAAACAATGTGTGTGTGTGAGAGAGAGAGAGAGAGAGAGAGAGAGAGAGAAACCAACCTTTTCTAGGTCATCACTACCTTCACCCCAATGTAAGAAATAGTTATTTAGTACATCCAGGCGATGCGAAAATTGAACAAAATCCTGCCTTAAGGAACATAGTTCTTGTTGTAGTATGTTATTACGACATATTTCAAACTTAGCAACTTCTTTTACATGTTTTACTTGCTTCTTTTTAAACTTCAGTTCTTTTCTCTGCATCTTCATTATAGCAGTACCAATCATGATTCCAAGAACACAGCAAATAACATTAGCAAACTAATGAGAATCACTGAATAATATGGAAAAAGAAAATAGAGTAACACTCTGAATAATCAAAACTTATTGAACTTCTAAATGTGAAGTAATCTTGCAACATCAATCACCAAATGAAATATGCAGTGTCAACAGATACTTCTAAGAAGATGGCTCCTCAGATTATAAAGATCATTCCGAAGCCAGTGCATGTCTTGCACAAAGTGCCACTACAAATGTAAATAACTTAAGCCACATGATTTACCTACTTGAAATTCTCACTTAATTAATAAAGATGTCTTAATAATTGTAACACTCAAGAAAGTTCAATCAGTAGGAAAAACTACTCAGTGTACGGTCAGGTGTGTTATGAACTATAAAGAAAAAATGAAAAACCTTTTTTCATCCATTCCCCATTAACACTTTATTAACTAAAATTCCAAATCACCACATTATTCCTACTTTTGAACGATATATTCCAAGTGTTGAGGGTCAATGCTGTGAACAACAAAACAATAACTGCTCATTCATTGCTTATTAGTTATTGAATAGAATTTCTCACATCTGTGGCGTAGGTGGAAAAGAAAGATTGGGAAACAGGTCAACCTCAAAATCTTGTGTCTCCGATAACCAATTCCGCGTTACAAAAAGGGCATGTGAATGGGATAGAAATAAAATTAATTTCAAGGACTGTGTCCATAAATATAATAAATTATGTACAATCCATTCCAATATAGAAGCACAAATAAGAACAAATATAGTAGCCTTTGCTTGCATTTCTGGAAAAACAAACATAGGCACATATTAAGTGCAAAAATAGTAAAGATACCAATTGCTAATGACAAAGAAAAGACATAAACACCAGCCAAAAAAAAGAAAAAAAAAAGAAAAGAAAAGAAAAGAAAAGAAAGATCCTTGAATAATTTATTAAAAAGAGAGGGATGAACATTTGGAAAAATTAAAAAGAAACAGAGAAGATCAGGATAAGTTCATTAAGTAGTGTTCAAAAATATCGTCACCCACATCATCAAGATTACCTCTGCTACTGTCACTATCAACTAAACAATTCATGGTTATATAAATGACATTAATAAAATCTAATGGGATAAGAATCCATCAATAGCAGTATTAACTCCACCCTAAAATCAAAGCCCTTTTTTCAATTGAAATTCCCAAATCAAATTATTATTTATTTATTTGGTTCAATTGAAATCCTTCAATCAAAACCCTAGTTTCAATAACAAGAGACAGGTGAGAGAGCTCTCAATATCATGTAAAAACCCCCAAATCAAAACCCTAATTTTTAACCCAATAATAGATTTGAAATAAATCAAGTAAAAAGCCTCAAATCAAAGCATAGAAAATCCTAATTTTTGAATTAAAAACCCTAATATTTTAAGTTTGGAGGATGAACCTGTTGAATCTGTTGAATGAATACTAGCTTCTTCAATCTGAACTCAACCACTCCTTAGCGGCAGCGGCGGACGAGCAGGGGATGGGGTAGCGAGGACAGCGACTCCTTAGCTCATCGTCTTCTCTCTCTCTTCTGAAATACGTAACCAAGAGAATAGAGGCTTTTGTTTTATTATTATTATTATTTTGAATTACCTCACCAAAATGACGTCGTTTTGGTAAGGTATTCATCTTCTTCAAGTGATCTCAACCCTTCGTTTTACATCCTTATTTTTTTTTTTTGCAAAAATAAAATTTTTTGAGCTGGACTAACAAAGAGCGTTGCCAAAAAAAAAAAAAAAAATGGTGGGTAACATACCGTTGCGTATAATATTACTTTTTACCAGTCTTGGATTTTCCGTCTCTAATAGTGGTATTTAGTCGGTGCCTTTTTTGCAACAATCAAATGTCGTCACAAAAAAGATAATTTCGCGACAGTTTTTTTTACCGTCGCAAAAGGTTACTTTTTGCAATGATTTTGAAACCGTTGCAAAAAATTCCATGTCAAAAGCCTCATTTTCTAGTAGTGATAGTTTCATTAAACACCATATATATCATTAAACTTGTCTTTACTAGGCTTTAGCTCCCCTATGTGAAAAAACATTTTAGGTGTTGATAGTATGCCTCCGCTAAGGGGATAGAAAAGGGATACCTTGAGAGGATGTTGGAGCTGATGGAGCTTAACACCCACTTTTGTTGTAACCAAGTATAATCTTGGAAACATGTAGCCAAAAAGGCATGAATTTGTAATAATTTAGATATTATTGCTTATCGATCACATGCTATAGATTCAGGTCTTAAAATCAATGAATGTATTAATGCATGTGATATGATTTTGTAACATTAACAATGTTATGATTATAGAATGCTTGGAATTTACTTAAACTTCCGCTTATTGAATGCATGTAGTATATATATGTGGAATGTGGAATGTATAGTCCAATTCTCTATGTTTTCGGGGCGTTACATAGCCACATTGTCACGTCCCGCCGAATTACCTAGACAAAATTGCGTACCAAGGGAAAGACTCAAGGAAGGGAGCCTAATGGAAGATTACAAAAGCTTCTAGAAGACTTGAAAGAATATGATAATGTTGTACATAATTCTAGAACGTACATAGATAGTTCCAAAGTAGGAAATATTCTTGTAATGTGGTAGAAGCCTCCATGACGTTTCTACACACCCTAATTAATAAGGGCCTTAGAATCTTTCTAGGAATACTAGGTTGCCCTATAAAAGGAGTGAGAGCTCATTTGCCTCACATCCATCCAAAGTGTAAGAGTTCTCTCTATAGTGAATATACAAGCATTCTCTCAACTAACTTGTGTGTTATTCCTAGTCTCTCTCTCTCTGTGTTAGAGCATCTCCAATGGTGTAGTTTAAAAAAGAGTGTTAAAATGTTTGTTATATGACAAAATGTGTAAAAAATTAGCATCACCGATTATGTAGTGTGGCTATAGCTCGCAAAAAGAATGACCAAACTCCTGCTATTCCCTGTTGCTATAAGACGTTTAAAAAAAAAATGATTAAAGTTAGTTTTAATTTTAGTTTTTTTTTTTGGGTAACTCGTAACTTCTTTTGTTTTGTTTTTTTTCCCTCTCTAAACAGTCCACCTCATTTTTAATAAAGACACGAAATAGCCTTTACAATGGTGTGCTATAAGTGTTTTTGAGATTGATGGTATCAAATATAGACTAATTCACAACGATTAGAATCACCTCCAACTTTTTATGGGGAAACTAGGAAACCTAACTTCATGTTAATTTAGGCAATTTGATATGTCTTTACTAAAAATCTTGGTTTGCAGTTTAGGTATGAAAGTAGAAGGTTATTGATTGAGCACTCCTTTCGCTCAATATAAAATATTAGTCTCTCCTAATATCTTTTTTAAAGAGTTATTTTCGCATTTAATTTATAAACTGATTTTTATCACCTACCTATGCCCTTAGACCAACCTATCAACCATGTATATCCCTTTTTCTTTCCAAAAATCATTTTAGGATTTCAAATAATGAAAAGTTTCTGAAAACGGAAACCTGCCAATACATGGTTGATAGGTTAGTCTAAGGGCATAGGTAGGTGATTAAAATCAGTTTATAAATTAAATGCGGAAATAAGTCTCTAAAAAAGATATTAGGAGAGACTAATATATTAGATTGAGCGAAAAGAGTGCTTAATCAATGGCCTTCTACTTTCATTCCTAAACTGTCAAACCAAAATTTTTAGTAAAGACATCAATACAAACTTGCTCAAATGTGGAAAGAACACAGATAATCAATTATAACAAATAGAACAAGCGAAAAGCATGCAGTTCATGGAAAGTGATGCAATCACACACAATAGACGGAAAAGAACGGAGGGAGACTTACTGAAATTCTGAGCACCAAAGCCATGAAAACTTAATTAGTATTATGTACATATGACCCTAGATATGAAACTGATGCCAAAACTCACAATATACGACTCTAGAGACTCGGTAGGCACTATAGCATGATGAATATGCATTATAACATGATTTTATCCATACAAATCAATCAAACAAAGTAAACGCAACAATTGACATGTAAAAATGGTAAGTTACCCGGCCTATATACATGATGTGCATGTTATGAATCTTAAAACAACTTTACAAAATGCAATAGAGTGCAAAAGTAGCAAAAGGAAAGGAAAATTCTATTTTCATACACTGACCTACCTCTATACACATCATTTCTCAGTATACACATTTATTAATTTAATTATAGATTATT